CTGTGGCCCTTGGTGTTCTTTGTAGAGGGGTCACGGCAGAGAACTTTCTGTGTCTGTTGACATTTCCCCTCTGCCCTGTGGAGTTGAGAGTGGGTCAGGGGCAGGGGTGCACTCCAAATGTAGCCACAGGCTTGGATATAGTGTGGCCTCCTGCATGACCACTTGGCTTATCAAGGCCTAGACCTCTGGTGACCCTGAGACTTCTGGAGGTTCACTGGGAGAGGAGGCCATAAGGGCCAAGGAGGAGGGCTGAGTGACGTGCTCAGGACACCCCTTGTTCTCTTGGCCTGTCTGTCATTTAGGCATTGGGCCCACTATGACCACCAGACTACAAGATGGCCTCACTTTCTTCACCTTCCTGCAGCAGCCTTTCCTGTGTTGTACAAGTTGTCTGTGTGGGGACTGGGGATTTAGCTCAGCGGCATAAGTGCCTGCCTTGCAAGTGTGTGGTCATGAGTTTAATCCCCGGTACTGATAAAAAAGAAAAAGACAAAAAAAAAAAAAAAAAAAAAAAACAAGTTGTCTGTGTGGACAACAGACCAGGGCCACAGTGATGGAAGTTTCCTTTCAAGATTAGGTGATAAAATCAGGTGTGGTGCCACATGTCTGTCAGCCTAGCGTTTGGGAGGCTGAAGCAGGAGGATCTCTGCAAGTTCAAGGCCAGGCTAGACTACACAGTGAGTTCAAAACCAATCTGAATTACACAGTTAGACCCTGTCTAAAACAAAACAAAACAAAACAGATTAGGCGATGAGAACATAGTAGCCCTCATCAGTTTTAGCCCTGAGGGGAAGCCACCCCAGGGGCATGAGAAGACATGTGGAGGAACTCATGTGAGCTGAAACTATGGCCTCTGACAAGCAGCCACCTGAGCCAGGCTTCCTGGAGCAGATCCTCGAGCCCTGGCCAAGCATTTAAATGACCTGAGGTCCAGCCACATCAGGCAACAACCTTATAATATCCTGTACCGGAACTGCTCAGTGAGGTCACTCTTGATTCCTTATTGTGTCAGAGAATTATTTTGAATTACCAACTTCAGGGAGACATTATGGAGCAACACAGCAGGAATGCATGTCCCTTCATTGCTTCAAGGCATTGAGATAACTCCCTACCTATTTCTCCACTGAAGCTCTCTGAACCCCCAAAGCCCCTTCCCCTCCAGACTCCAGTGTGGAACCCTGGTTACAGGTTACCTGGAGATGCTGAAGCCCAGGGGACAGCACTTGCCTAGCATAGAGTCCCTGAATTTCATCTCCAGTAACTCCTCCTCAAAAAAGAAAAAAAAAAAAAACCTAAAAGATGTCAAATGAGCCAGATTCAGGGTCACATACACCTGTAATCCCAGCACTTTGAGAAGCTGAGGCAGGAGGATCAAAAGTGTCAGCCCCAGCTTAGGCAACTAAGTGATGAGAAAGACCCTGTCTCAAAATAAAGTAAAATAAAAGGGCTGGAAATGTGGTTCAGTGCAAAGACCCTGGATTCAATCTCCAGTACCACAGGAAACGTGGTGGGTGAGAGAGAGGGAGACATTAACTCCAGCTCCCTGAAGTACTCAGAAAGGGCTGGGGATTTAGCAAAGTGGCTCAAGTGCTTGCTTGGTAAGCATAAGGTCCTGAGTTCGATCCCCAGTACCAGAAAAAAGAAGGTTCAAGGTTATTTGCTGGCTGAGAAGTGCAATTATGGGGGAAGAGGTAGGAACAAGAATGCACCCCAGGAAAGATCCCATGGGGATACACTGGAAGCACAAGCTCTACCTCCTCTTCCTTCTCCCCTGCTTTCCCTCCTGGGAGCTGAGAAACAGGTGGTCCTTCAAGCTGCCTCTGCCTCCTCCTGTTCCCTCATGAAAGGGCCTGGGGAAATCCCTGCATCAGCCCAAGTGAACCTTCAATGACTCCTCTTGCAACCCCAAAGGCCATAGGATGTCACTTGGTAGAAAGGAAAAACGCCACCCACAGAACTTTCCAGGAAACTCTGCCCTTGAAAACTCGGGGGCTGCAAGAGGCAGGGTCCTGAGACAGAGCTGAGGGGAAGGCCCCTCCAAGAGGGTGACATGATGCTTTGGAGCCTCCAGAGGCCCTCAAGTCTTCACTCTATGCCATGACATAATTGCTGCTGCCACCATTTCCTTCCTCTGTGCCAGTGATTCTCCACTTGTGACAAAGCCAGAATCCCCATGACTCTCCTCTGAGGAGAACCTCAGGTGCTTTACAAGCCTCTGTATTCCAGCTTCGGAGGGCACCCCCTTTTCTCTGAGGCTCCACACAGAACTACATCCCTTTCTCTGCTCTACTCCCAAACTGAAGCTGAGATATGTTGTCATTATCTTGCTTTGTCTTGGTGTCACTTCATTCTTGGCACACAGGCTCAGTGAGACACTATGGTTGTATCTATGTGTCCTTCCCCCCGTCAAAAAAACCTTACGCAGTCATAGGTGGAGAGTTTTGAAAGTGCCTGGATTAGGCTGTGTGACTGTGAATTAAGGGTGTGATACTGAGATTAAGGGTACGAATAGTGGAAGTCCCACCCTGGGTATAGATGGCACCATCAATATAAAGGGACAGAAAAAAGATAGGCATGGTGGCACAGACCTGTAATCCCAGCACTTGGGAGGCTGACATAGGAGGTTTGCCATGAATTTGAGGCTAGCCTGGGCTACATAGTGAGTTCAAAGCCAGCCTGAACTGCATAATGAGACCCTGTCTCAAAACAAAACAAAACAACAAGCAGACTTTCTTGGTGCTTGCTGCTCTCTGCCCACCCTGCCTTGGATTGCTTTGTCTCATTGATGCCACTTTGTCATGTCATCCTGCCTTGGAGTTGGTGACCATGGACTGAAACCTCTACAGACTGTGAACCGAAATAAACCTTTCTCCTTTAACTTGCAGGTGTTGGGTATTTTGTCTTAGCAACAAGAAAAGTAACTAAGATAGATACCCAATAGGGCATCTTCCATTGCTGTGTGTTTGGTGGGTTGGTTGGTTTTTTGAGACAAGGTTTTGCTATGAAGTTCCAGCTGGCCTTGAACCCACTATCGAGCCCAGGATGGCCTTGAACCCACTATAGAGCCCAGGATGGCCTTGAACTCCTCTTGCCTCAGCCTCCCAAGTGTAGGAATTAAAGGCATGTGCTACCATGCCTGGCCGCTATGGCTGTGTGTCAGCCATGATGGGCTTCCTCCAGGTCCCCTCCCACCCGCTTTTTTCCCCTTCAGTACTGGGGACTGATCCCAGGGACCAGGGATACCTCTAATCAAGGTATCACTCTAGTCCTTTTTATACTTCTGTTTTGAGACAGAATCTCATTAAGCTGCTTAGGGTGGTCTTGAATTTATGACCCTCCAGTCTTGGTCTCCTAAGTAGCTGGGATTACAGATGTGTACCACTGCATCAAAAGCCAGGGCCTACACCCATCACAGGCAGAGGTTTCAGTCCCTGGGAGAGACCTGAGGGTTCCCAGGACTGAGGCCCAATGTGTTCAGAAAGGGCCATCTGGGTGGCCCAGAAGACTGCTATCTCCAAGACACATAGAGACAGGGGCATGGACAGGTGATGGACTTCCCATATTTTCATGGTTACTGTTACTGCAAATTGAATCCAGGACCTTTGCACTGAGCTGCTTTCCCAGGTTCCCACTTTCCCCTAGACAGCCTCTCCCTATGTCATAAATGGTCCAGACAGGGTTCAAACTTGGTGCTTGGTTTATAGATGTGAATCATCACATCACACCTACCTTTTCAATTTCATGATTCACAGAAGAGAAGAGCTGCTTTCTTCTTTACTAATGGATAATCAGGTAAATACACAACCAGAGCACTCACAGCTATCAAAGCCCTCCTTCTATCATCTCGTATTGACAATAACTTACTTCAGTGGGTTATTTTCATTTATTTACTTTTTAGACTGGTTGTGCTACATAGCTTAGGCTGGCTCTGAACTCCTGAACTCAAGGAATCCTGCCTTGGCCTCTCACATCACTAGGACAATAGGTATATGTCCCTGTGCCTGGCAAGTACCCTATTTAATAGGTGGGGAAACTGAGGCTCAGGGAGATTAGTATCAATCACAACAGCAGAACAAGAAGGCAGAACTCCTGACTCTGAGAGCCTCAGTAGTAGCCAGCCGCCTTGCTGGCTGCTTCTCTTCCTGCCTGTGGGCTTTGTTCAGCGCCCTCCACTTTGTCAGACTTGGATTGTAACCTTGCCAGGACGGGCACTGTGTCTCTCGAAGCATGCATTGTTCAGTCCCTCTCCTGCAGGGTGCACAGGACATGTGACAGCTGCTCAGTGCACACTCACACACTGCACACAGTGTGCACACCGCAAAGGCAAGTACCTTCCCATACCAAAGATCTGTGTGGGGTAAGATATGCAGATGCCATCACCCGCCCAGGGACCTCCAATGGGGCATAACAAGCAGTGACCACCGGGTGGCAGTGTGTTCTCACGCCTGTGATTAGAAAAGTGGCGGGGGTGGGGGAGAGGAGGAGGAATGTGGGGGCGGGGCATACAGGAGCCTCGCCAGCTGCCCAGAAAGTTGGTAAGTCCAGATCTCCCGCAGGACTTGACACAGGGCTCCAGTGTGCATGCGGCTGTGTGTGTGTGTGGGGGGGGGGGTGCGCATGCACACGCGTGCAAATGTGGGAGGTCTGCTGCAAACCCCAGGGGCTGAGCACCAGTGCTGAAGGGCAACTAGGCATGGGCTGAGCCAGAGGGACAAAAACATAAAGGAAACCAGGGCAGCCAGCACAGTGCGGGTGGAAAGGTGGAGAAGGGGGCTGCTGAGGTCCAAGAGAACAGCTTTGTGGAGCTTTAGGAAAATGATTATCCAGGGAGAGCAAGCAGGAGAAAGACAGGGAGAAACAAAGAAGCCAGAAACAGAAAAGGGGAAGCTGAGGAAGACTGGCTGAGGAAAGTAGGTTAGGAAGCTGGAGTGGAAAAAGGGAGCCCCCAGAGGCTGGGAGAGACAAGCACCTTCACTGCACAAGAAAGAGCCAGACGGAGGTTTGTTGCTGACGGGGTTTATTGGGGCTGAGCTACTAAGATCTGCGCTGCCTTCTCTCCAGGTCAGAGCTGCCCAGGCTCCAGCTCGGGCTCGGGCTCCGGCTCCAGCTCCGGCTCAAGCTCCGGCTCCTGCTCTGTCTCTGTCTCCAGGTCTGCTTCCTGTTCCACCTCCTCGATCTTGCTCTGAGCCTGAGGAGGGCGAATCCCAAACTCCAAGGCAGAAAATCTTCTAGATCTCCACTGTAGGAGACATGGAAGAAGATGGTGACGGGGGAAGGATGAAGGGAAGAGGAACAGGAAAGATACTAAGCCTATCATGTCTGTTTGGTCCAGGGTCTTCTCAACCCCTTCCCAGATACGGAAGGACCCTGAAATGCAGAACCCTATGAGGATGGGCTCTGATCATGAGTCCAGGGCCCTCCTTGATCATCTTTCCTGACAAAGAGATACCAGACCCACTCTGAGGACCCAAGGGAAGGAAGTCAGGGGGTAAGAGATATATCTCTGGCTCACCTGTCTTTTCCAAAGGTGAAAGCCTAATGCTCCAGTCACCAAAAGAAGGAATGAGAGGGTACCCAGGATGACAAAGAGAGGGATTTGGCCTGCCCTGAGGGCTCTCTCTGAGCGCTGGGCATCTATGGAGAAAGCACAGAAACAATTAAGCATAACTCAGGGATGGATGCCACTGCCCTTTACTTGACAGATGCAAAGGGGTCCAGACAATTTAAGGGACTTGTCCAACATCCTTCAGCTAAATAATGTTCATATTGGGTCAGGCCTAAAAGGAGATTGAGATAAGATCCCTAAGACAATGAAAAGAGCTCGGCAGGTGGGCAAGTGACTGGGATGGGGTCTGAAAGGGAGACGAAGATGACTAAATTGCTTCGGAGTTGGGGGTTTGGCATTTGGGGGTCTCAGACCTGGGCTAGACTCTGGGACATACATCGCTGCTCCGATAAGTCTCTTCCCTTGATGCACCTGGCACTGCCAGGGCTGGGAAAAGAGTTTGGCCGCAGGCATCTCCAGCCAGGGTCCTGGGTAACTGTTCCTTGTGGATCTCCTGTCCAGGGGGCTCCACACAAAGTGCTCATGTCCAGATGCTGGGGTCACCTCACATAGCAGCCTCCCCAGGGATCTGGGTAACCCAGAGGACTTGGGAGTCACTGAAAAAAAAAAAAAATAGAGGGAGATCCTTTGGAGTCCTGACACCCTTGTTTGTTCCCACAGGTTCAGCCCCAAGTCTCCTATTCCACCGGAGTTCTGAGTGGGTAAGGCTGAGAGGAAATCAGGTCATGACCAAATTAATCTTTTTGTTGGGGACCAAAATCAGGGGCACTTACCACTGAGCTACATTTCCAGTCATTTTTCTAATTTTTGTCTTGAGACAGTCTTGTTAAATTGCTCACACTGGCCTTGAACTTGTCCTACCTCCTCAGCCAGAGTGCTGGGATTACATGTGTGCATCAGCATGCTGGACCTAAATTAATCTTAACACGACAATGCTCTGGTCAAGTTGCTCACCTGCTCCAAAACATTCCAAGCTCTTCAGGACACTGTTCACATTCAAACTAGCTCTGAAGACCACAGAAGAAATGTTACTGCAGATTCTTTTACATTCCTTTCTCCTAAATTCTCAGACCCACAGTCTCACTTAAAAGAGTTGGATTCTTTTTTTTTTTTTTTGTCTTTTTCCTTTTTATCGGTACCGGGGATCGAACTCATGACTGCCTGCTTACAAGAAAGAGCTGGATTCTGATATACTTTGCAGTTTTCCTCCTTCCATGATCTGGTTTGCATCAGTGCCTTCTGCTTGTGCTGACACTGGATGCATCTCATCTCCCTTTCTGCATATTTAGAGGACATTGAACCAACCCATTGATCTAGAGACAGAACATTCTCCAAGCTGTTTAGTGATAGATTAGGGGATAGGAGGAGACAAGTGATGAAGTGCATTGGCCTAGACATGGCCTGTGGAGACAGGAAAGAAATTTAGTGACACAGATTCCATAGTTTAGTCCTGGAGTCTGACATTTCCTGCTGTGTGATTTTGAGAACATTCTTTTTTTGTAAAACAGGGATAACTCTCTTCCATTGAATTTAGAAGCTACTAGAAAGGAAGAATAAGTGAACTTTGGTGACCAAATGGATTCCGGAAAAGAGGGGGCCAGGATATGGGGCACTGAGATTCCAACAGTGTAAATAACAGGCTAAATCACCAAGAGGACTGGTATAAGGAATGGTAGGGTCCAGGATGAGGCTAAGGAGTAGTCTAATAGAGATATTCAGGAAGCAGGTAGAAAGTCAGGATTGCATTCAGGATTATTTGTTAGCTTATTCATTTATTCATGTAGCCAGGGTACCTTATTAAGCACCTACTATGTGATGCTACTGTTCAGTGACCTCAGGGGAACACTGCCAATGTAGTTAAACTGTCATGACTGATAATCACTGATCAATGAACACACACTTTGAGTAATTTTTTTTTCTGTGTTTGTTTTATACTGTCTTCGAAAACCCTTGCTCAGTAAATATTTGCTGACCATGGACTGATTTATTAACTCCTTCCAAATCCAGGCCACTTCCTGCAACTTTAATCCAAACCTTGGCTCCAAAACAGACACGAATCCTAGAAATCTATTCCACCTCTTTTGAAACATTCAAATTTTTGCCAACCTCCCCTTCTAACTTGTCAGACCCTCCCACCAACTCAGAGCAGGGGAGTCCCTTAGAGAAGAGTAGAACACTTATTCTGTGAGTCAAGGGAGATTTTTCAGTTTCAGTTATCACAGGACTGAGAAAAGAGGCTAGGACTTGTGCCCAGTGGCCTGGGACCATAGGGTAGATTTGCACAGGCTTTAACCAATCAAACTTGCCATGCTGTCCTTGCTCTGCTGGGACAGGAGCTGCTCCTTTCCCACCTGGTGCTGACCTGTGATGACTGCCAAAGTGACCATGGCACTGAGCTGCTGCCCTTGTAGATGGATACGGCAGGTGTAGGTCCCAGCCTGGGCTAGGGTCACAGCCTCTAGTCGAAGGGTGAAGTTGCCATTGTCTCCAGCCACTGAGATTTCTGGGCCTCCACCAGGAGGGGCCCACATGGCCATGAGGGAAGATTGGGTTGTCACACCAGGAGGCAGATGACATGGTAACTCTGCCCTGTAGCCTGCTCCAGCATATACCATCAAAGGAGCTGGGGGCTCTGGACCTGGAGAAGAAAGAGAACCCAAAGTTAAAGTCGAAGGGGTATGCAGTGGGGCCACAGTGTTAGTGAGAAGATACCCAGGGGCTGAGGATTGTGTCCCTGACGGAAGCAAAAGTGAAGGAAATGGGGGCTGTGAAGAGCGAGAAGGAGTAGAAGAAGATGTGTGAACTGAGGACACTCAGAGACCCACAGGGGACCGAACGGGCCGGGCTGGCAGACTCAAGGCTAGCGAGTTAGGCCAGATGGCCAAGGGGAAACCTGGAAGGGAAGACAATGCCAAAAGCTGCCTGCAAAGGGAAGGAAGGGGTCATACACGGACTGAGGCCCAAAGCACCCAGGGGTGACGCTAGTTTCTAAGAACTTAGTTCAGGGACCCATGAGTCAGAGAGGAGATGGGGGGCAGGAAAAGGTTGTGGTCAAGTATAAAAGCAGATGAGGGGAGTTACCCCGAACAGTGAGGTTGTGTGTGATCCGAACTTTGAAACCATCTCTGTAAGTAAGAATGCAACCCCAGATCCCAGAGTCCAAGGGGCTGACTTGGGGCAGGAAGAGAAAGCTTTCCACTGAGTGGTGATGTGAGGACTCCTGGACAGGGACATGGCCTGGACCCCGGAACCAGTGGACAGAGATTGGACGGTCCGGACGGCTGAAGGAGCAGTTCAAGATGACCCAGTCAGAGGTCTTGAGAGGTCCTGTAGGGCTGGCCGTCACTGGGCAGAGACAAGGAAATCTCCATCAACCCCAACACAATCACCAACCAAGCTGGAGGCCATTTGTCTTCTCCTCCCTACATCGTCCCCTCCAGCTGAGCGCCCTGAGAGTTCCAGACTGCTCTCCTCTGCCCCTTGTCTCTGGTTCACTTGGTGCCTCCCTTTCTCCAGACCCCTACTAAGCCCACCACCCTGAGCACAGACCTGCAATGAAGCACTTCAGCCCCAGCCCTCTCTCCTATCCCCTCCACCTCCACCAGGCACCACCACCCCCGCCCGCTGTGGGGAGGGGTGGAGGTGGGGTTAAGAGGGTGACACAGCCTCTCCACAGCCCTCCCCCATACCAGTGCTCCTCCGGAGACCTTCTACCACCCCTTCCTGGGGACTCTCAGGCAGCGACTAGGGCTCAGTGGAGGCAGCAGCTCTCCCTGCCTCCCTGGGAATGGGAGGGCCCGGCCTCCAGCCCCCGATCCGCGTCCCTGTCCCTGTCCCTGTCCCTGTCCCGCCCACCTACTCGAGGCCTGGCCCACGCGCAGACGGAGCCGGCAGAAGAGCGTGCGGTCCCGGAGGAGGCGCACGGCGGCGTGGTACTCGCCGCTGTCGGCGCTCAGCGCTGGGCGCAACCACAGGGAGAAATCCCCTCGCTGGAGGCCGCGCTCGTCCAACTGCACTCGCGGCTGCAGGGGGAGCCGCCCGCTGCGCAGGCCCCCGGGGGCCATGCTCAGCACTGTGTAGCGCTGTGGGGCCTGTGCCTCCTCCTTTCGAGGGCCAAGGTTCCAGGGCCGAGCGGGATCGGGAGCTGCTGGGTCCCTGGGCAGAGGAGAGAATGGAATTGAGAACTTCGAGGGGTGAGAAGTCCCAGAGAAGAAGCAGTGCATCCCCACTTTGAGAACACACTAGCCACCCTCCCGAGGGATTCCTAGACCACAGGTCATCCCCACCACCATTCTATGGCCTCTGCCTTTGGGCTGGCAACAGGCACTGCTGATGAGGTTGCCTGCTAGGGGATGCAGGTGTGAGGGACAGGCTGCAGGGGAAGGGGAAGGGAGGACGGTCACTGACTGGTGGGGATGGACCCCACAGAGGAGGGTACAGGGCAGGCTTGAACAGTGGGAAGTAGGGTGTGTCCAGATGCCCTTAGTGCTGGATTTGGGAGGACCTATTGCCAGGTTTGGGGTGCATACCTGTCTGGTTGATGCTGCCAAGTGACCCCTCCTCTTCGCAGAAGGCTAGAATCCTGAAGGGGGAGTGTGGGGCTGCAGGGGAGCTGGGCAGGAGCTCCCTCCTGAGCCCACACCACTGTGACCTCTTTCTCAGGCACTGGAGCCTTCACTGCAGGAAGAGAGGCCAAGGAAGGAGCCATGAGCCAAGAGACGGGGCTACAGAAAGACCTCAGTGCTTCCCAAGGGAGAAACTGGACAAAAAAGGACTTGGGTGTCCTTCCATTCCCTGCCAAGAGGGGAAACTGAGGAGAGGCTTTAGCGATGGAAAAATCGCCCCTGACTCCAACACAGAGCTGAAGACCATGGGATCATTGAGGCCACAGAGATCTCTGATGACCCCTCCCTTGAGTTGAAAGGGCACCCTACCCCCCACCCTCACCTTACCTGGAGCCACCCACAGCAGTTGCAGAAGCACCAAGCCCAGGAACTGAGTCTGCCCCATCTCCCCTGTGGCGTGGGCCAGGCTGAGTCCCCCAGAGGGAGGTCAGCAAGGGGATGGGGGACTAAAGAAAAGTTCTGCAAAGAGAGCAATGGAAAGAGAAGATCTAGAGGAAAGGGGAGCCCCCCTTGGGAGGCCTGGAGAGAAAATGGGAAGGACCAGTGATGGAGGCTGGAATCCAGGCAGCAGGGGCTGGGGCACCCTGGGGACCGGGCAGGGTACAGCAGACAGCAGGCTGGAGGCAAGGCGGCTGTTTGGGAGCTGGATGCTGCTCTGCTGCTCCAGGGCCCTGGCCCGTCCTTATGTCTCCCTCCACCTTCCCCACTTCCCCTCCACACTGCCCCCCCACACACACCCGGGCTCATGGTTTCACTTCGCAGTGGAAAGTCTGAGGGGGCTGATTCCCAGCAGCGGCACCCTCCACCTCTGTGGTGGCAGTCTCCTTGTTTACTTCCTCAGACCTGGGTCTCCCCACCGCCCTCTCCTCTCCCCTTCCCTGCTCTGCACTTTCCCTCCCCTGCCAACCATTTCTGCCCCAGCTACCTACTTGCCCATTTCTAAATTGGTTTCCTGGTGCCAACATGCCAGACGCCTTCCTGTACTCCTCTCTTCCCTTGTTCCCTAACCTCTTAGTGCTTCCTCTCCCTGTAGCTCCGACTACCCACTGCCCAGTGGTCTGTGTGGCTCCTGGGTCAGCGTGGGTAGAAAGCTGCACTGCACCCAACATAGACCTGAGCAAAGGGATGCCAAGGTGGAGTGGGTAGAGCAAGTTACATGACAAGGAAACTTGCGTGTTCTGTACTAAACACCATACTGGACACTACGTTATGGTTAACTTATGAAATCTAATGATTCTGTACATTGTTCAGATGGGGAAACTGAGGCTCAAAGATGTTAGTTTACCATGGCTAGGGAGTATGAAGACAAAAACTGTGGGCTTTTTTTTTTTTTTTGTCTTTTTTTTATCAGTACCGGGGATCGAACTCATGACCACACACTTACAAGGCAGGAGCTTATGCCACTGAGCTAAATACCCAGCCCCCTGAGGTTTAGTTTGACCCTGGGTAAATTAAGGGTCTCTCCTGGTTACTTAACAGTATCGACTGTGGGTGCCTCTCCCCTCTCCAGTTTTCTCCAATGTTCTTACAATGTTCTTATAATGTTCTGTAATGAGGGCAAAGGGTAACACAAATTTGGTTGGGGGGAAATCCTGGAGCAAGTCAAATCCAATAGAAGGCTATTTGAATAAAGCATGACACTGAAAGCCAGCGCTTGCTCTCTAGTCCAGCCCAGGAGCCCAGCAGGGAGAGCTGAAGAGCAGAGGACAAGGAGACAGGCCTGGGAACAAGAAACCCCAGGGTTCACTTTGTCAGAGGAGCTTGCTTCCTGAATGTCAGGCAGAAGGCATCTTCTTTGCCAGGCTCTTCTGGCAGATCCCAGAAGGGTGAGACCCAGGCCTACCAGTCTGTCCCACACCAGGGGCAGGACTTCCTGTTTCTAAGGCTGTTTCTGTTTGCCTGGTTCAGCACAATAGAGCTGGTAGCTTTCCACTGGGCTCAGCAGTGTCTAGATCTCGTGTGGGTTAGCAGGGAAGTGTGTTACTGGGGAGGAGCATCCCCAAGAACCCAAAACAGGAACACAGGTCAGCTCTCTCTCAAGAGCTGGGTTCCAAATCCACCTCTGGAAGGTTGGCTGTAACTTTCTGAATCTCAGGTGTGAAGTCAGCCTCCCTCCTTCCTCTCCACCTTTTCCTTGCACTGAGTGGATCCCCGGAAAGCAGGACACAGGTTAAAAACAGAAGCGCGACCATTTCTTTATTAAATTATACAAAAAGGGGAGGGGAGGGAGGCAGCTGTGGGGCTCGGCCCCAACCCTGGCCCTACCCCAACCCCAGCCCTACCCCGGCCTGGCGCTGTCTGAGAGGAAGGGATCTGAGGGAGACCCAGGGATCAGGCAGGAGAAGGATGGATAGGATGTGAGGTTGGGGGATGCAAGGAGCAGAGGGGAAAGGGATGGGTGGGTTGAGTGAGGGACAGAAGAAAAGAACAAGGAAGAGTGTGGGGGCTGGGGAGCTCAAGAGGTGAATGGATGGCAGAGTGAGGGCAGGGCAGTGTCCAGAGCAGTGGAAATGAGAGGGCTGAGGAGAAAGAAGAGGGTGGCAGCTCTGGGGCAGGGTCCAGAGCAAGAAGCCAGGTGACAGTTGGCTGTACTGGTCTGTTCCCGTCCCCGCCTCCAGACCCAAAGGGCCTCCCACCCTAGCCCCTTGATGGGGGACTCATGCCGATGCCCCATTTTCTGTCTTCTGCCGCTTCGGATCTGCTTCATCCTGTGGAGAAGGACAGAGTTTGGGTAGCTGTAAAAACAGAGGGGATCACCCAGTCCCAGCAGGCCTGTTCCAGCCCCCACCGGTGCTATCACAGGGATCTGGGTCCAAATCTATCAGGTGCCCAGCCCTGCTGCATCCCTGGTGACCCTCAGGCGAACAACCCAGCCCAAACCTCCTCTTCGGCAGCTCTCTTCAGTGCGGGCCCTTCATCATCCTCTTCTTCTTCTTCCTCATCTGAGGAGCCAGAAATGGATCATTGGAGAAGAGCAGGAGCTCCGGCAGAGACCCCCTGTGGTCACCCTCAGCCCTGCGCTTCAGGGTCTTCAAACCCACCCTGACTCTGCTCCTGTAAGCCCCAACTTTTCAGCCCAGATGTCCCTGCCCCTCCCCACCTTCTTCATCCCCTTCGTCCTCCTCCTCTCCATCCTCGGCAGTTTCCTCCTCTTCTTCCTCAGCGCCATTCTCTTCTTCCTGTGGGGATCAGGAAAGGGAATGGTATCAGGGTGGCTATGTGCCCTCACCCATTGGGTGACTAAAGAACTTGAAAGGGAACTCCACAGTGGGACAGTAAAGATGGGAGGGGTCAAGGGCAAGGCAGGACTCAAACCCCAGGAAGGTGATGAAGGATGAGACACTGGGGAGGAAAGACAGGCAGGTATGAGCATCTCCCCCAAGCCCTCCATACCTCCACCACTTCTTTCTTTCTCTCTTTCCGGCTTGCCTTCTCCTCCACCTTCTCCTTCTTCTCCTTCAGGTCCTATAGGGAAGAAATAAGTCACCTTTCTCTCACCACAATGCCAGGCAGCCCTTGATTCCCTCCAGCAGTTTCTCTCCCTCTCTGAGGAAGCTTAGAGGTGTGCAGTGTGTAGTACCTCTAGAACAGAGGTCCCAGGTCTTGACGTTAGGACCACAGAGGGATTAACATGAGACTCCTTCCTTACAACCCACAGGGTGAGGAGAAACGAGAAAAGCCGAGCAGGCAGCTAGGGTAACTCATTCCTACCCTGTCAAATTCTTCCAACCTGTCTGGCTGAAGAGTTCAGCTCAGTAAAGCAAATCCCCTTCATCTGCAAGCGGCCTCAATGCCCCACCCACTTCATGTCCCTCCGCCTCTGCCTGCCCGCTCTGCCTTTTGTCTACCTCTGGGGCCTTTTCCTGAGTCCTCTCTCTCTTGGGCAACCCTCCCAGCTTCCCCTTGAGCTTCTAAGGCCTTTGTTTCTGGTGGTCTCCCTCACCTCCCTAAGCCTCAATGTTTTACTGGCCAAACATCTCAGGAATAGGAGAACATCCAAGTACACTGGGCCCTGGCAAGCTGGCCCAGCTAAACCATCTCAATCCCCAAACAGCTCCAGTCAGTCCTTCTCCTGAGGTATACACCTTGGTATCCAGAAAGAGAAATGGTCATCCAGGAGAAATGGAAGCCAGGTAGGGTAAAAGAAGGAAGGGAATCGAGGGAAAGAGTATCAGACTAGGTGGGCAGAGAGAGCAATGTACAAGGTCTGTGTCTGGGGAAATGGGAAGGTAGATGGGAAGCACCTGTCCAGAGTCCCCACCACCACATACATCCCTCTCCTTCAAACCAAGATCCCAGCAGACACACACTAGCTGCCCTCGTCTAATCTGGCAAAGGGAGCCACTCACATGGGTTTCCCCTCTGCACACCACAGGCATTCTGTGGCAGTCTCTGGTTGTCTTCCCACTCTGCTGATTGGCAAGTACCGTAGGTGTCCTGTGTGATCTGATCTGGTGATGGTGTGCAGACTGTGCACCTGACTCCAGGTGGAGGAAGTTTGGTGTGTGTGAGCAGCATGCAGTGGAGGGTGTGGCTTTCTGGAACAGGACTAGGGTGGGAAAGGGGCTGGTGGCCAAGTGGTCTTGGAAGCACTCAATTCCCTTCTAACTTCAAGAGGAGCACAAAACATTTAACCCTCTCACTCTACCTAGGCTTCTACTTCATCTCATCTTGCTGTCTTTGTTTCTTGGGCACAGGTAGTCTTGGCAGTTCCACCCGGTGGGCTTTCCCCTACATTTTGGGCTTGAAGTCAACTAAGTGAGCTTCACTCTGGTCCAGCACCACGTCTGTATGGCCCTGGCCAACTTTCCCATCTGGTCTGATGGAGGGAGGTGGGGAGCGAGAGTACCAGAGACCAAAGTCCAAGGGGCCGGGCCCTCTCCTCCCCTGTCCAGTCCTCTGGTCACTGTCCTTCCATGATCCCTTTGCAGGGGGTATGTGACCTGGGCCCTAGGCCTTGTGCTCAGCAGCTCTCTGGCCTCGATGAGGGAACAAACAGTGCCACAGGCTATGATGAGCCACACAGCGACAGAGGAGCACCCACGCGATCTGGAGCCACATGGCCGGGTGTTTGGCATCCTGGCACCCTCTCGAGCCAGCACAAGATCACATAGCAAAGCCACTTGGCACTCACAAAGCAGCAACATGGCTCCAGAACATCTCCATCTCCACATGCACACATGTAACTGCCACGGCCAGTCTCACACACTCACCGGATTTTAGACATACAAAGACACCTACTCAGTGAAGTCACATGCCACCGCACAGCCCACCAGAGGCCGCATGGCACACCTTGTCAGCTCTCACACAGGGCCCCACTGCCTCTCATCCCCATTGGCTCCCTGGTTACTTCGCAGGCCTCCAGAACTGTGTGTGGCTCCTCTGCAATCCCCAAGTCCGATTCCCAGCCCCCAAAGCCTGGCCGCATTAATTTCCCAAGGCGACACTCCGCGAGTTCCCTGGGGAAATTAGAGGAGGGCTGGCTTCGACAGAGGCAAGGGCAAAGGGATCAGGCTGGGAAAGGAGCTGAGAGGGAAGGCCAGACCTCTCTCGATGCCAGGCCACGCGCGCCTAGCCTCGGCTTTCTTGACAGCCATTCCCGACCCCGCTTCATTTTTAGGAATTCAGGAGTCTCGGGGTGGGGGGATGATGGAGAGAAAAGAAAATTGAAAGCCCAAGTGTAGAGAGGGAAAGGATGGTGATGGACGGGCAGAAGGGAGAGCAGGGGGCAGGCGTCCCAGGAGGGAGGTGGGAGCCGCCGAGCTGCAAGGGGAGGGCCCTGTTTACACCCGCGGCTCGCATCCCGCTTAGCGAGGTCGGAGGGCAGGCGGGCGAGGAGACCTCCTCCGACGGGCTACTGGCGGCGGGCAGGGAGGGGCGGAGGCCCGTGCGGGCAGCTAGAGGGCGCTGGAGCGGGCCGCGCGACGGATCGGCGGCGCCGGGCCGGGCCGGGCCGTGTGGGGCGGCGGGGGGAGGGCGGAGTAGGGTCCGCCTGGCCGGGGCGCGAGGGCCGCGCCGGGCCGTCGGAGGCGACAGAGGCCGGAGCAAGCGCCGAGCCCGGAACCGCACCGCCGCCGCCGCCGCCGCGCCCTGGTCCGTACCTTGGCGCTCAGCTCGGCCGCTGCCTCCACGCTCTTCTCCGACATGGTGCCGGGGGCCGGGGCCGGGCCGGGGCTGGCGGGGAGCCGAGGTCCCGGGGCCGAGACGGAGGAGCCCTGGACGGCGGAGGGGGCCGCGGCCGGAAGCTGGCGCGGCGGCGACAACGAGAGCGACAGCGACAGCAGCAGCAGCGGCGGCGACCGCTCAGCGAGCTGGGTCTTGGAAGAGGCGGCGAAGCGCGCGGGTGGGGCGGGGGCGGGTCCGGCGCGGGACCCGCAGGGCTGCGGCCGGGAGGGCGGGGGCGAGGCGGGCGGTGGCCGGCGCGTCCGGGCCGCGGAGGCTCACTTGGTTCTGGGCTCGCCGCCCCCGCACCGCAGAGCTGCCGCCGACCAGCCGCTGCCGCCCCCGGGCCGGGAACCCGCTTATAAGGCAGCGCTGCCCGACGGGAGGGGCTTCCCAGGGGTGGGGCGGCGGGAGCGGAAGGCAGGCGCGGGGAGGGGGCGAGCGGGAGCTGGAGAGGTGGGGATAGGAGGATGGCAGTGCGCGGGAGGGGAGCGGGGCGGGAGGCGGGAAGGGGTGGGGCTCCTGTGCAGAGACACCTCCAAATCCCCACCTACCGCCTGCGAGGTGGAGTCTGGCTGCTGGGTGGACTGGGGAGGTGGCCAGAATCCTGCTGACCCCTAAGAGACCTGAGGTTTTGCCAAGGGGTGGAGCGGGTGGGGGAGCAGATGTAAGAGGCAGGGCAGGTATAGGAGAAACCAAAAGCTGAAAGGAGAGGAAGAGGCTTGCGGAGCTACTTCCACATGCATCGCGCTGGACTTCCCCTCTCACCCTTCAGCCACATTCTCGGGGTGGCCTCGAGGAGGAAGGAATGGGAGCGCGGAAAGGGCAACTCTGGCCTTCTTGATCCCGATGAAGCTGGCATCTGTGACCCTTGCGGGTTGCTCCCCTCCTGGCTCTTCTGTGCGATCGAGGGATCCAGCGTCCTTTGCTCTTCTCCACCTCTCCCCATCTTCCACCTTCGCCCTCGCCTCACTTTTCTTTGCCTGGCCCTTCTCTTTCTCCGCATCCTTCTTCCTTCATGGGACCCAGACCTTCCCTTCCAGCCGTCTATGCCCCCCATCCTGAAACACCTCTTCTGTGCTTCTGGAGACCCCATCGCCTGCTTTCCTATCGCTCCCAGATGGACACCTGACCCTAGATCCCTGACTTCCCTCAAGTCCCCTTGCTGGCCTCTTTTTCACATTTTCCTTGCTTTGCTTTGCTTTCTGCTGCTGCCTTGTTCCTAGCCTCTTTCCATATGCTGGCCTCCTTTGCAGATGTAATACGGGTCCAGGCCTGGAGCTGCCAGCCCCAGTGTCATCTCAACATCTTGGGGGTTCAAAAAAAGGATAGGTTTGGACTGTGTATTAAAGGAAGGCTGGGATCTAGAGAATTCCGACATGTATTTCGACGTTGGTAGTGTTACGCTTAGACTTTTGAATTTATTTTCATAATAAAGACATACATTGTTGACCCATACATTTGGTATTTAAGTGCTTAAGGACATCATCTTTTGGTCCTTTGGTATAGACACACTTTCAATTTTCCCCTCAGATTCTTCCATCAATTTCTCAGTCTTGGTTTCCTCAGAAATCTTGGGGCCGCACCTAGGGTTTTCCTTGCAGGATTGATTCAGTTCATCTTTTCCCTGAGGTCTTTCCATTTCCCTCTCTCACGCTGTCTCTGACTCCCTGATGGATGTCTTCAGAAATCTCGCACGGTCTCCATCTCTGCGCACCTCTCCTGCTTCATTTAGCTCCCTTTCCCCCCACCTTTGCTACCCTCCTCGCAGTCTCCAGTCTCCCTCCAGGTCTGTCTCTTTACTCTCCCTCCGGCTCTTTTCCTTTTCCCTCTGTTCCACCTTCCAACCCCGCCTGCTGTCTCAGACACCCTGCTGGGCTCTTACCCTGTTGCCCTGGTAACTGCCCCCCACTCGGGTCACCTCCACTCCCCTCCCCATCCCATCACCGCCACCAACAACCTCCATCTACCTTCCTCCTGTTTTTCCTGAGAACCAATAGAAACCCTGTTGCCAGGTGGAATGCTCATTTGAATCAGCCAATCCAGAGCGAAACTGCTTGCCCTGCCTTATATGGGGATGTGAGGAGGGCCACTCCCCCCCACAGGGGACCACCCCCTCCTACTGTCCTTTCTCCCCAGCCCAAGGGGGAAACTGGGACCCTCTTTCCTAAGGGGTCTGGTTTCCCATTTCTCCAACTGGGACCACCCGGGTTAGTTTGGAGTGTGGGCCGGACTGTGGGCTGGGCCTCAGAGCTGGGGGTGGGAATGAGGTGTGATTAGGGAAGGGGAGGCGGAGGGAGCCTGGAATTTTGCCCAGGGAGGGGCGTCTGCGAGCAGAGGCAGCTGCAGTGGAAAATTCCAGGGAGATGGAGAGGCAGAGGATGGGAATCGTGCCCCAAGGCTGGAGGGCGCGCCTACAGAGAAGAGCTTGGACACTAGGGTCCACATCGACTCTGAGGGCGACATCTAGGAAGCTGGAAGCCTGGATCTAGTTCCCTTCCTGCGCGGAGAAGGATCTTTTAGGCGTCCCTACCTGCCTGGACCACCGACCGGTCTTCTGAACTTGTGGCTTCAATAAAAAGCCGGAAGTGAGAATTGGGATGGATTGGAGTAGGGTGCTGAAAACCTAGTCCACAGCCTTTGGGATTATCTTTGGAGCCGGTGGTGTCAGATCTGCGCTTGCTCCTTCCCACAGAACTGCTCCCAGGCCTGAAGTGCTAGTACTCCACGGCCTCATTGAGAATTTCTAAGGGGAAACCTGTGCGTCTGACACATTTTCTGAAAGTGGGAAAAGGAGGATAGGTGCAAACAAGGGAGCCCGTAGCATCGTGGGTGCTATGTTATGATTTCTGGTCTCACATCCCAGAAATTTACCTTGCTACTCAGTATGGCAGAGATCAATTCTAATTACTTCCATCTGATTTTTTTTTTTTCAGCGTGTATCTATCCCATAGGGTAAGTGCTAAGAGGCCTAGTTATCATCCAGAAACCTGAAAGTTGGGCCATCTCTGCACCTTCCTTTGCTATTTTATCCCCATTCTAATCCCATTGATCTCATTTTCTACCCCCTGGGTAGAAAGAGTTTCTTTCAAAACTCAAGTCAATGCAGAGTTGACAGCAGATGGACTTAGAAACTGCCTAAAGTTTTGATCATCATTCTCTCCCCACCCCCAGTGTTGCATAAGCAGCTAGCTGGGTGTGGTGTCAAAGCAGGAGGAACACAAATTGGAAGCCCACCTGGGCAATTTAGGGAGAATCTGTCTCAAAAAGGGCACAGGGGATGTAGCTCCGCATAAGGCCTTGGGTCCAATGCTCACTACCATCAAAAATAAAACAGGGGGCTGGGGATTTAGCTCAGTGGCATAAGCGCCTGCTAGTCGTGAGTTCGATCCCCGGTACCGATAAAAAAATGAAAAAGACAAATAAATAAATAAATAAAACAGAAACCAGTTTAACAACAACTCTAAGGGATCTCCGTTGTATATACTATTAGTCAATCCAATTTGTCTTGTCCCTCATCAAACACCTAACAAATTCACATCTAAATTCAAAGGGCAACTAGGAGTTACAGCATGTGCTACCTGCCCAGCCAAGATACCATTTTAGGATCAGTCTCAGAGCCTTCTCAACTGCTTTTCTTTTTTCCTCTCCTTTTTATTTTTTTTTTTAAACCTTCTTTCTTTTTTTTTTTTTTTCATGTCAGACGGGTAATGTGCCGAGGTCGTAACAAGGTTGAAAGGAGGCACATGTCATACATAGAGCATGAACACCCAATCATCACGCTTATGAACCTGAGGATCACCTTCTTTCTTTATATGAGCTCGGAAAGCATACAACCGTCTGGGACATGTTGCCAAGATACTCAGCTCACCTCTGCTTTAGTCAGGATCGTCTTATTAACAACTGACACTTTGATGGCTTGACCCTACAACTAAAACTTCTGTGGTTTTCCTGCTTCTCCCTGAACTTTTTCCCAGCAAAAATAAGTAGTTTCATCATTGCATCTCTCCTTCAGAGTCATCTCGAGGCTTTTCTTAGTCTTCTCTTTCATAACAAGAGTACTTTGCTGTTGCCCACCCCTCCTCTGCCCTCAAAAATTAATTGCTTTCCAGTTCTGTCCAACAAAACGTTCCGTAATGATGGAAATGTTCATTATCTTTTCTTTCCCAGAGTAGCTACAGACAGTCATTGAACACTTGAAAGTGGGGCTAGTGCAACTAAAAAAGTTAGGAAGTAAATCTTTTTTTTTCATTTTTGTTTTTTACATTGAGGATCAAACCCTTTGCACTGAACTACATCCTCAGATCTCTAATTCTTTTATGTTTTAATTTTGAGACAGGGTTTTGCTAAAACACGAACTTTCTCAGAATAAGTTTAAATTTTATTTGTTTTCTGTTTTGAGACAAAGTCTCATTTTGTCTTATTCTTTTGTCTTTTTGAGACAGAGGTTTGCTATGTAGTTCAGACTTGCCTTGAGCTCACTTTGTGGCCCAGGCTGACCTCAACCTCAAAATGCTCCTGCCTCAGCCTCCCAGCATGCCGAGATTACATTGTGCAACCACCTTTTTTTTTTTTTTTTTTGGTTCTAGGAATCAAACCCAGGGCCTTGGCCATGTAAGGTAAATGCTGTACCATTGATTTACATCCTCCCCAATCTAAGTGTCATTAAATAGTATTGTGTAGATAATAGAGAACACCACTTTAGACCTCAGTTCAAGCTGTTTTATTTTTTGGTGTCTTGTACTACCACACATTATTATTACTATTATTATTATTATTATTATTATTATTTTGGTTCTAGGAATTGAACCCAGGGGTTGGACATGCTAAGCATAACCTATAGCACTGAGCTGTATTTCCAACCTGTACAGTGGCTCCCTTTCCACCTCCAATTCCAGCAACCTGCAATTAGAAAGTTAGCAACTCTGACTACTGAATTTATGATCAACTAGCTACTTTAGCATAGCATTTTTCCTGTGTTTTCACATTTTCAGACGTTAAATTTAGGCAAGTTAGCTAGAACCTGTCAAAAAATTTAAAAAGTGGAGGATTGCTCTGAACTCAAGGCCAGGCTGAGCTATGAATGGGGCTACAGTTCAGTGCAAAAGCACTGGGTTGAATCCCTAGTACTGCAAAGAAAAAAAAAAAGAACCCAAACTGACAGCTAAAGGTTTAGCTCAGAACAGAGCACTGAAAGGTCGTGACAGCAGTGCCGAGTCATCCATTCCAGATGAGTTCAGACTCAAAGGGTTCGTCTTCAGCATGGTCTTCTCCACCTAGTGCCAGTACTGACCTCAGTTCTCTGTTCATCACACCCTGGGTGCTCCAAGGGAAATCTCTTCTTTCCTACCTCAGAGAGCAGATCTTCTACTCACTCATTCATGGAAAGCAGCGGCCTAGGCTTTCCTTGTCTTTCCTGTTTCCCTTTCCTAGATCCTCCATATTCCTTAGGTATCTCTTCTCTAAGTCCTATTCTGGGTCTACTCAAAGGGTCTTGCTGTGTTGCTCAGGTTGGCCTTGAACTTGCAGGAATCCTCCTGCTTCAGCCTCCTGAGCACTGCTATCACAGATGTATGGCACCACACCTGGCTGTTTACTGACTTTAAACTTGAATTACTTAGGGTTTTTTTTGGGGGGAGGGGAGGGACTAAGGATCAAACTCATGACCTCAAGCTTGCCAGGCAGCACTTATGCCACTGAGCTAAATCCCCAGCCCTTACCTATGGTTTTCAATCACAATTTAAGAACTGTTGTTTTAGGGTTGGGAATTTAGCCCAGTGGCATAAACACCTGCCTGGCAAAGTGCAAGGTCATGAGTTCGATCCCTGGTACAAAACAACAACAACAACAAATGTTGTTTCTCCAGCACTGATTTCACACCTGGATGGAAACATCAAAGATGTTTCCTGATGAGCTTGCCCAGCATGCTCAAGGCCCTGGATTTGATCCCCAGCACTGGAGGCGGAAAGAAAAAAAAAGTTTCCTGAGAGGCATAAATTGCATTTTCTACCTAAAATGCAGGCATACTGTTGCACTTTCCCAAGGTTGTGGCTCCACTCTCACTTTGTTCAAACATCCAATCACCCTGGGGCTACTCCAGATGCATGACCTCACATGGAAAGAAGGCCCCTTCTCCAGCTCTGCTCTTCCAGTTCAAGGACTTCACACCTGGTGAGAGAGCACACAATGCAGGAATCATGGTAGCTCTGTTCTCTCCCTTCCCAACAACCCTCATCTTCCTTGGCCTCACCAGCTGATGCCTGTCATCCCACCTTGTTGTAACTTCTTCATCATCTGTGATGGGAACTCCAGTCTTGGGGTGCTCTTCGATGTAATTCACTGGGCTGCAGAAGGAAGGTTAGGGAGGAAGGTTGACAGGGTGGGCAGGAAAGAGGTAAGTAAAGGGAAAGGAAAAAGAGGGAGGGGATGAAGGCAGACACCAACTTTGGTCATTTGTGGAATCATATCTAATTCTAGCCAGTCTGCTGTGTCTCCAAGGATATCCAGAATCACCTTGCTCATCTCCTCCATTCCCAGTTCAAGATTTTTGTTGTTGTTGTTGTTGTTGAGACAGGGTCTTGTACATAGTTCAGGCTGGCCTTCAGCTCACTATGTAGTGCAGGCTGGCCTCCAAAGAGGCAATCCTCCTGCCTCAGCCTCCCAAGTATAGGGATTGCAGGTGTGTACCACCATGCCTGGCTGTAAAAAGCTAAACTATAATTTGTAAATATGACCAGGAAGGATAATTCATGATTTTAAATCAATAATGAAATTGGGTGAGGTGGTACACACACTTCTAATCCAGGCTGGGGCAGAAGGATCACAAATTCCAGGCCAGACTGGGAAATTTAGTGAGACTTCATTTCATTCATTCATTCATTCATTCACTCATAAAAGTTGGGCATGGTGGTACACACTTGTAATCCCAGCACTCAAACGGCTGAGGTAGGAGGATGCACATGAGTTCGAGGCCAGCCTGAGCTACATAGTGAGATTCTGCCTCGAAAACAAACAAAACAAACAAACAAAAAACAGAAATAAAAACAAATTTGCTGACAGGTGTGGTGGCTCAGGCCTGTAATCCCAGCACCCCGGAGGCTGAGGCAGGAGGATAGTTTCGAGTTCGAGACGAGCCTGGGCTACAAAGTGAGCTCAAGACCAGCCTGAACTGCACAGTGAGACCGTCTCAAAAAGACAAAAAAAAAAAAAAAAAAAAAAAAAAAATTTTGCTATGGAAAGAAAGGAGGAGCAGAAAAAATTCTGGAAAGGATTTCCTTAGTTAGGTCTGGGTTGCAGAATGCTCACTGGGATAACTTGTTTGGCTGTCAATTTGCTCTCCCTTGGGACAAGCAAAAAGGGCAGTTACAGAGTAGAATGTCCAGAAACTTAAAAGATTTTACTAAGTCTCTTTCCTAGTAATATCAATGAAAAACAAATTTTCTTGTATTCTTTTGGCCCGTCAACCTTAATGTCTCTCTCAATTCCCCCAGTCTCCACCTGTATTTCCACTTCAATAAAGATCAAGTCCAAAGAAACTTGAGAAACCCTAACCCAGCCCCTTCTCCTGAGTCACAGGGACCCTTCTCCTCCTCCAGGGACTCCTCAGGAAGAAGTCTATCTTTTTTTTTTTTTGTTCCCAAGAAGTGGACAATAAAAGAAGTCTATCTCTTAGGGTCACAAAGCACCAAGGTGGCTGGCTAAGAGCCAGAGTAAAGAACACTGGATCAGTCAGGTTCAAAGTCTACCCTCTATAGTTCAAATCTCCTGACCCCAGGGGGAGGGTCTTTCTTGTCAGTGGAGCCTTTTTTTTCTTTCTTTCTTAAATCTTGGAGGGGCTGGGGATTTAGCTCAGCGGCATAAGCACCTGCCTTCAAGCAGGCAGTCGTGAGTTCAATCCCTGGTACCGATAAAAATGAAAAACACAAAAAAAAAAAAAATCTTAAATCTTGGAGCCAAATTTTATGCCACACATTTAGTATGTCAAAGTTATCAACCCCTGGGCTTGGACTCAAGCCTCCTGGACCCAGTTTTTGCTCGGCCCCTGAATGATCCTTGTTCACTGAGCTTCCCAACCCCTTGCTTCTCCCAAACTTGAGACCCTGAACCTATCTACCTCACTAGAGACCGAAGGACGGAAAGCTCTTGAGGACAGAGTTAGGGAGAAAAAAGGGAGATTAAGCACAAAACTAAGAGATTCTGGGGGCTAGATACACAAGGCCCTGCGTTCCATCACCAGCATCAAATGGAAAAGAAAATCCAAAACCTAACAGATTTCAGAACCAGAACCTTCGCCAAATACAAGCTTCACAGATGGGTCACTGGGTGCCCTAGAGCTAGCTGGGCCAGCACCAGATCCCTGGGGGCTGAAGGTACAGCCTGGGCAAGGGACGCCATCTGGTGGCTAGTTTCCCAACTGGCCTATTCATCCCAGTCCGACTTTCCAACTAGAAAATAGACTTGGGCTGGAGCGCTGTCCCCACCTCCTGCGCGTCACTCCGAGGACCCGCCCTGCCGGGAGCGCTCCTCCTCCGCAGAGACGGACCCCAGCGCCTGCCCCCTAGAACGCTGCCTTTCTTCCCGCTAGGGCCATACGCTCCTTCTCCCGGTAGACAATCAGCTTGAAGGTCCCCAGGATCTGCCAGCCTCTCTTGCAGGATGGCTCCCCACCCCTTCCTGAAGGGGTACGCTCTTTCTGCCCCCTGTCAGCGCCCAGCCTCTCCCCTCAACGACTCTGACCCCGTCCCCCACCTTGCCGGCGGGTTCTGCAGGTTTCGGCCAGCCAGACACAATTTATTACTGAGGCCTCACGGCGCACCCCGAGGCCCCGCCCTACGCGTCCCGTAGTCCCGCCCCGGGGCGGCTCGTCGTGACGTCACTTCCTCCCGGGCCGGCAGAGGTTGGAGCTCCGCGACTGAGGGCGGGGGTACGGAGGTGGCAGCTGAGCTAGGAGGCGACCCGGAGCTCGAGCTCCGACCTGTCTCCGCGCTCCGGGCAGCGACCCTGACCCTGCAGCGCACCGTGACTCGGAACCGGCCGGATGGGCCGCTGAGCCCGAGGCGGGGAACGGTGAGGCGGCGGCCGGCCGTGGGTGCCGGGCTGGGCGCCCGGGTGCGGAGGGAAGTCGGGCCTCGCTCGCCCGCCCGCGGGGGACAGGCGCGGTGGCTGGGGCGGCTGGCCGGTCCGTGATGGGTCGGCGCCGCGGGTTCACCTCGGGAACTGCGGCGTCGGGGAAGAGCCAGGCTGCGCTCCAGGCCCGGGCTTGGGGGAGTATGGCTCCAAGTGGGGGGAAGCCAGACATCGAGAGGGTGGGAGATTTTCCTGGTCCTAATTGAGATGGGTTCGTAGTGTTCTTCACTCTTCAGGGCTTGTGTGGGACCCCTGGAGAAGGTACTACCTGGAGTTCGGGTGTCAGTTGGAGTATTTTGAAGGGGCAGTGGTCTGAGAGTCCCTGCACCAAGTGAGTGGGTGTGCAGAAGCCTGTCACTCCCTGAGTAACTGAGCCGCCACATCTCTCTTTCCAGTGTTGACCCCCCTTCCCCCCCTGGAGCTGAGATCAGGATGTTCCGCTTCATGAGGGACGTGGAGCCCGAGGATCCCATGTTCCTGATGTGAGCATTCCCTCCCCCTCACATCCCACTCCACTTCAGTTCAGGCATGTGGGTTCCCATGGCAGGGACTGGCCAGATTCTGCACCACAGTTTAAACTTTAAAGGAAGTCGCATGTGTGACACTGTGTGGCCCGTGGCTGCTGTTTCAGGGATGGGGAGAGATCCCTTCACCACTCATGCTGTCTGCTCACTCTGCAGGGACCCGTTTGCCATTCATCGTCAGCACATGAGCCGCATGCTCTCTGGTGGCTTTGGTTATAGCCCCTTCCTCAGCATCACAGATGGCAACATGCCGGGGACCAGGCCTGCCAGCCGCAGAATGCAGGTATCGTGGAAAAATGTCTCTAAAACCCAGGGAAAGGTCGCCGGGTGGTTGGCAACACATGATTTTTTTCTTGCACTGCAAGCAATTTAGCAAGTGAAATGGTTTTGAAGGAGTGGAGGTGGGGTAGGAAAAGAGTTTTGTGTCTCCATTTGAAAGGCAGACAAAAAAGAAAGAAGAAAGGAGGCAGTGGGCCTGATTCAGGATTGTAAGGGATTGTAAGGAAAACACGTGAGCTCCAATTAATCTCTTATTTCTGCTTTGCGTATTCCTGCAGGCAGGGGCTGTCTCCCCATTTGGGATGCTAGGAATGGTGAGTCCTTATGTGTCTTGCTTCCTTCTTCTTTCCTTCCTTTATAGTGTGTGTGTGTACCAGGAATCAAACTCAAGGACCTGGAGTTTGCCAGGCAGGCTGTGAAGCTGAGCTACATCCCCAGGGGTCCTTTTACTTTAGATATATTGTATAATCTGAGATGTTGTTTTCTTTTCTTTTTTTTTTTTTTTTTTTTTTTTTTTTTGGTCTTTTTATCGGTACCGGGGATCGAACTCACGACTGCCTGCTTGCAACGCAGGTGCTTATGCCGCTGAGCTAAATCCCCAGCCCCTTGAGATGTTGTTTTCAAATGTATACCTTGGAGTGGCCTCTTGGTAGCCCCCAGATGGTCTCTTTGGCTACTGTTCCCAAAGCTCTTAGCCAGTCAGGTGCTGGGAGTCCTGCTCCCCTTGTACCCAAAAGATGTAATTGTAGCAAAATTCTCTTAGGGAGGAGAGAGGTGCAGGGGAAGAGCTGGAAAATGAGGTTAGTATCCATTAACTTAGGCTTACTCCCTAAAGATTGAAGGAGAGAGGGCAGTCAGGCAAGGAAGGAAGGCTGGATGAGAACAGCCACAGAGAAGGAGGAGGCCGCCAGCAGTGCCCAAGAAGCACTCTTTAATAAGAAGGCAAGAGCAGTTGCTGGGATGGGCAGGAAGAGGAGGGGCCCTTAGCCAGGTGGCTTGCGAGCAGTCAGTAGCACTGACTGCTTTTCTGTCTTCCACATCTTTGTTTTTCCTCCAGTCTGGTGGCTTCATGGACATGTTCGGGATGATGAATGACATGCTCGGGAACATGGTGAGACTTGGCCCATCTTCTTCCTGGACCCTTTCTCCTCTTCAGTACTGGCTGGCAGCTTCTGTCCTCTGAGGCAGGAGGGGCACAGGGAGTGTGGCTGGGAAGGAGTCGATGAAGAAACTGGATGGAAGCCTGGATCCTGTGTTTGCCCTGAGGCCTGAGTGTAAAGAGACAGCTGCATTCTTAGGAAATCTGAAAGTCAGTTTTGTGTCTAAGGTTTTGGGTTAGTACTGGACTCAGAGGATTTGGAGAGTGGCAGTGTTTCCTTCATTCTCACATTTGGTGGGAAAGACACAAGCAGGACCAGGCAGCTGACGGGGTGCAGTGGTATGTGCCCATTAACCATTGAGGCAGAAGATTGTGAGTTCAAGTTCAGACTGGGCAACTTAGACCCTGTTTCAAAAGTAAAAAATTAAAAAGCTGGAGATAGAGCTGAGTGATAATTAGTGGTATTGGGCTTAATCTCCAGTACCATCAAAAAATTAAAAATAAACAGCTGAAGGCAAGACCTGCTCAGGGGGACTGCTCCCCACTTTGCCCAACCCTTCCCTGTCCTCAGGAGCACATGACAGCTGGGGGGAACTGCCAGACCTTCTCGTCCTCCACTGTGATCTCCTACTCCAACACGGGCGATGGCGCCCCCAAGGTCTACCAAGAGACCTCAGAGATGCGCTCAGCACCTGGCGGGGTGAGTGGGCAGAAGCAAGCTGCACTCTGTAGAACATGCTGTGGGTGCTGGGGCAGTGTAGCCGGAGCTTTAGAAGCAGCTGTCTAGTGTGCTGGATTCTGCCTTGTCGCAGATCCGGGAAACTCGGAGGACTGTCCGGGACTCGGACAGTGGACTGGAGCAGATGTCCATTGGCCACCACATCCGAGACAGGGCTCATATCCTCCAGCGCTCTCGAAACCACCGCACGGGGGACCAGGAGGAGCGGCAGGACTACATCAACTTGGATGAGAGTGAGGCCTCTGCCCTGTAGCCCGGTCCTATGACCTGGATCTCAGCTGCCCCCCTCCAGCCCCACACGCAGTTACAGGCGAACCCCAGACCCAAGCCTCCTTGTCTGCTTAAGGTCTGAGGCAGGTGCTGCTGAAGTTTGTTCATCATATCCTACCAGTGCCCATGCGGATCCATTGTTTTTCTTGTTTCCTTCTATCTTTTCTCAGTTCAGCAAATGTGGGTATTTAACAAATACCCACAACTGGCGTAATTGCAGTTTTCTGTGTTCAGTAGTCATGCCCTCGCCCCACTAGTGCCAGGGACCAGGGTGAAGCCCAGATAGCAGAGTGCAGCTGCTGCTGCCCCTCCCCCGCCCCCTCTGCCTCCACCGTGGCTTTGGGTGGCAGAAGGTGTGGGTCAGGCTGCATGGAAGTGCTGCATGCCCTGTGTCCTCCTTAGGTGAGGCTGCGGCCTTTGATGATGAGTGGCGGAGGGAGACCTCCCGGTTCCGGCAGCAGCGCCCTCTGGAATTCCGGCGGCATGAGGCTTCTTCAGGTGGGGGACGGAGGGCAGAGGGTCCTCCCCGCCTGGCCATCCAGGGACCTGAGGACTCCCCCTCCCGACAGTCCCGCCGCTATGACTGGTGAAGGCCCTGTGCCTCAGGCTCTCTTGTAAGTATGTGAGGGCAAAAGAGTCAAGTGACAACCCCGGGTGGGAGTCGGGAGTGGTGCTGTGATCCTGCACCTTCAGCTGGCACAGAAACCAGAAGATGCCCTCCTAGAGTGAAAGATGAAGCCCCTCCCCTGGCATTTATATTTTTTCTTCCCTTTGACATGCACTCATCTTTCTTCCTCCTCTAGGTACAGGCTGAGAAATCATCCTTGAAATAACTTTCCAGCTCCCACCCCAATTTAATATTAAATTAACAAGCAAGCTGGCCCCCACCTCTCCCTGGGGGTCTCAGGGAGAACCTTTCATTGCCCCAGCCCACTGTCTGTCTTCAGGCCCCTTCCCACCATGCCTCCACCTGTCCTGTGTCCATTAACTTGAGTTTTCACTTTGCTGCTCTATCTCCAAACCTCCTCATCACCCCATTGAGCCCTGCCATGCACTGACGGGTCCTCGGGGTGCAGGGATCTCCCCTTTCCCTCAGCTGCCCCGGCTCTTCACCATCTCTTCCTCAGCCCCCACCAAAGGCGCTGCAGCCCTGTGGGGCGGGGTGGGAGCAGACTGGTCCCAACCCTTCCATCCTCTGCTCCCACACATCAATCACAGAACTCTCCCCCATGTCTTCCTCTGCCTTTATTTTTTGATTTGTGCAACTTTAACTAGGTGTTTATGGAATAAAGGAGAATGGGAAAAGACTGAGTAGGCCTCTGGCTGAGCACCCCACCCCCTGCCACGGCAGAATCTCATGTAATTTAGGTTGTCCTTAAAGTCACTGTATAGCCTAGGCTGGGCTTGAACTCACAGTGATCCTTCTGCCTCAACCTCCCAAGTACTAGATTACAGGCATGTGCAACCACACCCAGCACTCTGGCTGGACTCTTTATCCTCTCCCTGTTGGGTCATCTCCATCACCTTAACTGCCTGCCCAGCTACCCACTGTGTGGCCCAGGCCTGTGGTAGGGCCGTCAGCAGAGCTGAACCTGACCAGGAAAGACACAGAGACAGCTGTCCTGCCACCCCGAGGCCCATACAGCTGTGTCCTCACTGCAGAGCATGTGGAGCACAGCTTGCCAGGTGCCTAGGGAATGGCTGTCCCTACCCACTAGGCAGAGGTCCTTTGGGGACTGAGGGAGGAGACACATGGTAACCTGCCCAGGCCTTGGGTGGGGGAGCTGGAGTCCACAGCATTCCTTATACCCTCCACACCAGTTGCTGAGAATTTGAACCCAGGGAAGGAGACCAGCAAAGAAAACTAACCTGGAACCTGAGCAGGCCTGCAGGCACAGGAGAAGCTCACATTTCTCAAGATGTTCACTGTTGCTTTCCAGCCAAATGGGTCACCCTGTGCCTCTCGGGAGCTTGGTTTATGATAGCAAGTACTTGTGAAAGTCTCAAGAGAGTTTCCTGTGTGTGTGTGTGTGTATGTGGGGGGGGGGTTTGCTGGCGGCTCACGCATGCTGGGCGTGCACCCCACTGCCAAGCTTCATCCCCGTCCAGCTTTCCTCTTTGTGAAAGCTTTTGGCTGGTAAGGCCCAAAAGACACTGATAAACTCTGGGGCTCTCAGGAATGGAAGTATTTTTCCCTATGTTTCTGGAGGACAAATAGATTGAAGAGGGTAGGGGATTGGGTGTGGTAACACCTGTAATCCCAGCACTCAGGAGACTGATGCAGAAGAATCATGGGTTGTTTTGTCTTTGAGACAAGGTCTTGTGTAGTTCAGGTTGGCCTTGCCCTCTCATCTGGTGGGGTTACAGGAATGTGCCACTCTGCCCAGCTTGGATGGTAACTGCTCTTCCCAGATGAGCACACATTACCTCTAGGAACGGGAGTGGCTCTATTTGTTCCTGGAGAGGCGCCACCAGGAGTTGTGAAGAGCCTAAAGTTGCAGAAGGATTCCCACAGCTCCGTCCTCTGCCCAGCTGTGCCACTGGCTGAACTGTGTGGTCCAGAACAGCTCATTCTCCCTGTGTTTCAGTTGTGTAGGTCCCTCGCTAGCTACAAATCAGGATACAGTCATGTGGATTTCAAGGCAGTGTCTACACCTGTAAAACGGGACAGGCAGCATCCTGGGCTGTGATTTTCAGGCACAGTGCTGTGAGGGATCAGACTTGAGGCCTTGCACATGATAATCCTGTGCTCTACCACTGAGCTGTGGAATGGAAAACCCCTGCTCCCTGGCAGTAGGCATGGGGTACCCCACAGCCTGGGCCTTGTGACTGGTACTCCCAGGGATATGTGTTGTGGGAGGTCAGGCATTGCAAACAGTAGAGTAAGGGCTGAGGAACCAACCAGGACCTCCTGAGACTGCCACTGTGGGAGCAGAGCAGGGAGAGGAGGCCAGAAAGAGACACTTGCTCCGGAAAAATGCTGCCATCTTCCCATGGTCAGCTCTCCATCAGGACCCAACCTGCCATGACAATGGCTTCCCCTCAGCCTCTGGCTCAGTTAATGTCCAGAGGATACACGCAGACTAACTTGAGTTCTTTTCCCCACCCCAGAAAATTACAGGTCAGAAGAGGAAGTAACTTGCTATGGGGCCAAGCAGGATAATAAAGAGAAGGGAAGTTAGGGAAGAGCAAGACCTGGCTCTGCCATACAGGAGACCCAGCTGTGGGAAAGATGCCTTTGTCTCTTTCAGCCTCAGTTCCCTGCTTTACAAAATGTACCTTTTCTAGATGCAGAAACCAGTGGAGACATGGATTCATACTTGATAATTTTGAAAATTATGAATTAGTGCAATTTGTAATAGCTGCATCTTCCCCATCAACCAAAAAATGGATTAAAAAATGTATTTTTATACAATGGAGTACTACTCAGTCATAAAAAGGATAAGCTTGAACCTTTTATAGGAAAATGGACACAACTAGAGATCATACAATAAATCAGACTGGCATGTGTAAACATTGTGTTTTTCTACTGTGAAAAGCTGAAATGTATCTACATACACATATGATAATTAAGATAGTTATACTACTAATTTCTCTGAGTTCACTGAAAAGAAAGGTTTAGGGCTGGGAAAAAAAAAGATTTGTGCTAATATTGTTTGGACAATTAAATGGAGACATCCTGTACTTTGAGCAACTACAGATACCAATACACAATGTAACAACCACGGTTACCCTCTCATTATTGTGTTTTGAAATTTTCATTCTCTTAAAAAGAGTTAGGAGCTGGGAATTTAGCTCAGTGACATAAGTGCCTGCCTGGCAAGTGCGAGGTCACGGATTTGATCCCTGGTGCCACTAGAAAAATATAATTGAATAAAACTTTGGGGCCAGAGATTTAGCTCAGCGCCATATGTGCCTGCCTGGGCAAGCACAAGGTCATAAATTCAGTCCTCAGTACCAAAAAAAAAAAGTAACTCACTCTCAAAAAAGAGTTAGGGCCAGGAATATAGCTCAGTGCCACAAAAGCCTACCTGCAAACACAAGGTCCTGAGTTTGAGTTCCAGTACCAAAAAAACGAGTGCAGAGAAAGAGTTATGTGGTACATAGACTGCACTCTGACCTTCGGATTTCTCCCAGTTCATCCACCCCTTCCTTGGCCTTTGGAGGCCTTTGGGGGGGGGGGGTCCCTGCTTCTTAAGTCCACCCTCAGATGACCTGGAACTCATCCTCCCAGTCTGGGCCTGAGCCCTTGTCCTCCGCTCTCCCAGCTGTGGGTCACTGTGTTTTTCCCTCAGATGGACAAGGCCCCTGCCCTCCTTGCAACTAGGAGTTTCTCCTCTCCTGTTGTAACTGTCCCAGGCTTTACAGATACCCTTTGTGGGGCCGGGGATTCAGCTCAGTGGCATAAGTGTCTGCCTGGCAAGCGCGAGTTTGATCCCTGGTACCAAAAAGAAAAAAAAGGGATACCCCTTCCTATACCCAGTCTCCAAGTCACACACATGGAGCTCACCCAGAAGGCCAGAGGCCGACCCACTTAGGAACCTAGGGTCTGGTCTCCCAGCCACAGACACCAAGCCACTTAATGCCATCTACCTTCCTGCCCTGCCTTCCAGCCCCAGAAGTGTCCCCCAGGGCTGGAAGGAGCCACAGAGTGGTGGAGTTCTTCATTCAGGCCCTCCCTGTTGGACTGGGGTACAGGAAAGGAGCCATTACAGGTTGCACTTTTGTACCACTGAGGCTTTCAGATGAGAGAGGTGAAGAACAGGTGTGGTTGCCTGGGGAGGAAGAGAATTATCAATTTACCAATTCACACACACACACACAAACTTAGCAATTCACAGAGCGTGGAGCTAGGAAGGACAAGTTGATTCCCAGGATAGACAGACCTTAATTTAAGCCACCCTGGTGTATGACAGTGTCAGAGTTGGAAGGGACCCTATGGATCATCCGCTTTCATCCCATGAAAGCCAAACAGCCAGGTTGCAGGGGGACTCAGGGCATCTTAGCAGTGATCACAGACTCAAAGCCCAGCTCCCATTCTTACTACTGTAAGCCAGTGAAGGGCGGCAACTCCCAGCAGAACAGCCAGCCCCAGACCCAAATCTACACTGACAGGAATGCTACTAACACACTGGTGAACCATTTGCCCTGGGAGTCCTATGAATAGCAAGTTCCTTGGCACTGTGTCACCGAGCTATATCTCTGGCCGTATTTATTTATTTATTTTGAGTCTTGCTATGTAGTTCAAATTGTCCATCAACTCACTGTGTAACCCAGGCTGGTTTCAAATTCAGTCAACCCTCCTGCCTCAGCCTCCTGAGTGCTAGGATTACAGGCATACACTACCAGGCCTAGCTCAATTAACATTTATATTAAAATTCACCCAAGGAATAGCTCAGTGTTTAAAAATATGATTGTTTGTATGTCAGTAATTTAAAATGTGTTGTTTTTTGTTTTGAGATTTGATCTTGCCACATTGCCCAGATGATTTCAAATTCCTAGGGTCAAGCTATCTTTCTGCCTCAGCCTCCCAATGAGCTGGGATTGTTATAGATAGCTAAATTTGGTAAAAAATTTTATAGGCAGTCATACAGGGGTGGGCCCTTGAGGGAGTCAGTGCAGAAAATGAGAGGACATCAAAAATGTGGCTGGAGATTTAGCTCAGTGGTGTAAGTGCCTGCCTGGCAAGCACAAAGTCATGAGTTCTATCCCCAGTACCAAAACGAACAAACAAAAAAGAACCCCTGCGGCTGGAGGTTCATTTGCAGATTAAAATCACAATGGCCAGATTTACATACTTTCCTTAGTGATAAAGGGACAGAATGCTTGAGATTACTGGTACCAGCCTTTGAGATTTCATATGTAAGTAAACCATTATCTCCTTAGCAGTGGGTGTGGCTTCCTCTCCCACCAAGACCAAGACTAGAGGATCACCAAAGTTAATAATATCATTCATATGCCCAGTATTAACTACGTGGCTGTACTTGTAATCTCACTGGTTGATTATAGTTTCTGACCCATGTGGTACCCATCTTTTTTTTTTTTTTTTTGTCTTTTTCGGTACCAGGGATCGAACTCATGACCGCCTGCTTGCAAGGCAGGTGCTTATGCCGCTGAGCTGAATCCCCAGCCCCTGTGGTACCCATCTTGTGATTTCAACTCTATAAAACTTTCTCAGAGAAGTGGCCTCATTGGCAACCTATTCAGACCTCTCAGGAGCTAGTGCCATCGCCCAATAAAATTTCCTACTCTTTTTTTTGTCTTTTTCGTTTTTATCGGTACCAGGGATCAAACTCATGACCGCACA